ATTCATTCATTCATTCATTCATTCATTCATTCATTCATTTGTTTATTTATTTATTTAGGATAAACAATTCATGAGAGAAATCAGTTAGGAAGCTGTTTTGTGCATGCAGTAGCCTGCTGTAATCTTCAGTATCTTGTTACTTTATTTTGAGAATGATGTCAGTGGCAAAGTAACGTCAAATGAATTTCATTATATTACTCCTTATTCAGTATCATGAAATATATATAAATACTAGTAGGTTTAAAAAACAAGACCATACAGCTCTTTGGGGAATGTTGCCTTTGTGCTTGTTTTCCATATTTTATAAGAAGAAATTAATCAATATGGATTGATATTATCTTTATTTTAATTTGTTAGCCTGGATCTAAATTTGGCTGGTTACGTTAAAACTGTTATTTTTATGCAATCTTTTTATAACAATAAAATTGTGTTTTTATTGTATATTCATTCATTCATTGTTCATATTTATATTTTATATTTATTTATAATCATTTTGCATCATTCCTATAAGTAATGTGATAAGAACAATTTGGTATGATACCAGAAAGGGACAAACATCTTAGCTACTTAGATCTATTATGCTGCAATTATAAGAAAAATAATAATCAAGGGAAAACATTAGAGATCATATCAAAACCTATAAAAAACTAGCTTATTACGCGTGGTGATCAAGACGGTTTGTTTTAAGTATATTATACGAAAAATTGCTAAAACATTTTCAACTAATGAAGAGTGGCATTCGATTTTTAATTTCTCTTTTGCCTTTCACGTAGTCTTTTCTTTCTTTCTTTCTTTTTCTTTTCCTTCTCTCGTTTTGTTGTTGGAATTCCACCTTGACACATATTGCTTATCAAAGTTGTATTCGTTTCGTGCATCAATCAGCAGACCTGTCTGACCAAATATTCCATCACTCTAGATCCTTTGCAGACAGTATGATGAGTCTATTATAATTTATAAACATCATTAGCCAAAGGTCCTCCAACGCCATTCTTACACTTCTCAGACGATCCATAGGTTTTATAATTACGAGTCAAGGGCCCACTAAAACACTGGCCGCCATTTTGAATAGCAAAAATCTTATATCCCAGTCCCCTTGCTATTTCTGCGCATTTGCTTATGGGCTGTTTTCTTGTCCTGTAATCTTCCGTTATCCGAGGATCCAGACCCTCCAGTGAGATAAGTGTCCGGCTCTTTGGATTTCTCCAGTTTGGTGTGTCGGCCCAGCATCCGAGACTCTGGTACTCAGTCACAATGATATCCTCTGTAACATAAACAAATGCAACTTCCTTTAAGATTGAGCGACGTATTTTTTTATTCATAGAATACTTGAATTTTATCTATTGGTATTGCATAACTTTTCAATATGGGTGAAAAGTGCCTGGTTAGCACTAGGTTTGGAATCAGAATCAACACATTGTATTGATCCCTTAGCTGTGAAAAAAGACAAGTACTGTAGATAAGCAGTACACTACTGTGTCTACGTAGTTGCTTTCGATTCCGGAACAATATTTCAGGAACAATGAAAGTGTCTTATGGTAGCATATTCCATGTTAACTGAGCTGAATGGGTAAAGGGTCTCCTATTTTCTACTTTGTTTTAATTCCACCCATCTCATTGTCTGCATAAAGAGAAGAAGCTATGCCCAACATGAAAGAATCTATGCCTTGAAAATCAGTGTAGTGATTCAGACTGAATTATTTGCTCGAGAGTTAAAAAGAAGAATCAATCTTTTTTTTCGTGACTCACCAGACCATTCTTGTGTCTTCTCTGCTGGTATCTTCTTTGTCGGATTTGCTTTCTTTATTGATTTTGGAGTCGGAGTGCGTGCTGGAAACACGTAGATTATTAAGCAAACCAGATGAATAACGCGATAAACAGAAAAACGTGTGCATAAGTAATAAATATAGCAAGTCACTTTCGAATGAAATGTATTCATGCAAGAATTTGGAAAATTCAAGTTGAAATATGATTGGAATTGAGAAGATTATTGAAAGTCATACACCCAGTGCAAAGTTAAGGGATGTTTGAACGAAAATCATTGCAAAATCAAAACTTTGCACCATTTGACCAATATAATTATTTACGTTTTTATTTGTTTTGAAAAATTGGTAAAATACAATGGATGCCCAATATGGGACACCAAAAAAGTTATCTTGATCTTAACATGCATTATTATTTTGTAAAATTATTATTATTATTAACCTGAGGAGAATTGGCTCAGTTGACGCGCATGCTCATTATCATCTGCAAAGATGAAAAACCTTTATAGTTATAATAAACATGCTGTTCAGACTTTTAAGAATTGCTTTAGTTTCAATGACGATGCTTTAATTTATGCTTTATTTAGTGTTAAACAATATTTTAATGATTATTAATACTTCAGTGATCCATTCTTTCACAGCATAACATTAAATTATTAGTAACCTTGTGCGCTTTGGATAGGCTGTGCAGTAGGGTTGTTGTACGGTCCTGCCAAAAAAATTAACACACTCAGAAGTATTTATATATATTTATAAAATATTTGAGATACCTCGTCCGCTCTAATTGGTCGGGACGCTTGCAAAACTATGTTTATATCTAAGGACAGAGAACGCTATCAGGTCAAACGTTATTTTCCTTCGGCTCTCTTCTGGTTTCTTTTCGACTTTTGCTCCAAAGCTCCCAGCGTGTTTATAACACAGTATATAGACACTCGCGCCGTTTCATATTCCTAATATACATTTCATTATGTTACATTCGGAAATTGATGGACAGGTAACCACTACTGCGAGAGCAAAGCCATGATTTTAGTTTTACGAATGATTTTGTGACCATTTCAACGTTTCAACATGTTTCATGGGGAAATTATAGTAGACAGGTAAAAAAAAATTACTTCCTGGATAACGTGATGGCAAAGTAACCGCGTCCATAAAACATGGGGACTCAACCGTTTTCAAAAATAAACAAAAATAAACAAATCACATGGCTACCCCATGGATTAGATAATACGGTGTATAGAGGTATTTAGAGTTCTTACTGAAATTATTCGTTGATCGAGAAGTCGGCGAGTAAGGCTCCATAGCGTCTACTGCAGGTTAGAATAAATCATGCATACATTACTTATATATCCTCTATCAGATACACAATAAACCATGCACTATACTTTCACCATGCACCTGCACCATGCTTTCACAAACACAATGCAATCAAAGCTGCACGGAGAAACTATTACATATTTTGCGGACGGATACCAATACGGGATTAAAGGGACTACGAGGAACTAAGAAACAATAAAGAGCCATGTTAATGCTTCTGCAATTGATGTTTTCACGGCCGCCATGTTGGAGGAACTTAACAAAAGAATTATCAATGATTTCTTTTGTTATATCCTCCAACATGGCCGCCGTGTCTTTTGTTATTTAATAGACCTTATTCGTGGTGTGACAATGTTTTCCCAATTCAGCGTGACAAACCTCCAGATGATTCATTTTCTTTTGTTTTTACTCTTCGAAAAATTCATGATATCCCAAAGGATACGAAAGGAATAACGATGATACCCCGACGAGTTGCAAAACAATAGCTCTTCATTCCCCCAGAGGTTTGTCACGTTCAATTGGGAAAACATTRTCACACCACAAATAAGGTCCATTCTCTTGGGAATGGTTGAAAACCATCAATACTGTGTGCCTCCTCACGATCGCCCTTTGCATTGTCATTTCGACACACTTGCATTTAGAGAATTGCAGCAGAAAAAAGAATTATGAAAAGATAGAATGCAATATGAAATATAAAAGTCATCATTCTACATACCACCATTCTCAATAGCCTTTAGTCTACGGGTCAGAGAAGGATTTGCTGAAAGAAAAAAACAAGACGCGGTTTAACACATATTATATATTAAACTTAGCTACGAGCCTGACATCAAGAAGTCCCCATGCGTGGCCATGTTTATGCCAACGTCTAAATAACCAGCCCTTGTTTTCCTTTTTCAGTCCACTTGTCATTACCTAGACTATCTTTTTTTTTTTTTGTTTAACGGTTTTGCATGAGAAGACAAATGAATATGGATACAAGTCTATTTGGACGTACTGTACAATGGAAGTAAAAGTATTGCTTGAGACACCAAGCTGTAACTTACGTATGCAGGATCGTTTTGAACTTGGCTGATCTGCGCATGCTCCACCTTGAGAACATTGATTATGTGACCATGTGTATCCCGGCCTGCACACACAGACATCGGTCTCGCATTGGGCGTACAAGGGGCAAGTACCGCACTTGGTCACTTCTGGAATATAGTAAAAAGTATGTATACGAAACTTTGTAAAATAATCCAACGATATGCACTAAGAGTCCATCCCGCTATTATGCTGAGCAAGTCGTAATGCAGCTCAGTTTGGAGGACATAACCACGAGTTTCCAATTCTCAGGATTATCAGAATTCTTTTGCTTTGTCCTCCAAATTGAGCTCCCTTTACGTCACATGCAAGCTAGAGTTCTATAAGTCAACCATGAAGTAATGATGTGAAATTTGAACGCTATTRGATTCCCACGGACTGTTAATGATGTTTAATAGCAAAATATCTTATAACTGATCGCCAAAACCAGCTGTACACATCGAATGAGAACAACAAAAAATACTGCTACAAGTAATTATTTTACGCTGGAGAATTCTACCTTTTGTACAAGTATATCCATCGCCCTCGTAGCCATCTCTACAAATGCACTTGCCGTGAACACATCGAGCATGAACGTCACACTCTGAACACATGTCAACTGAAAATAATGAAATCAATAAATCACGTGAACAATATTTTTTGGATACTATTTGCTTGTCAAGAAAGAAGTTTGTTTTAGCTCAGTTGGCTAGTGCGCGGCCTAGTCCTCAGGGTTTTACATATAGTTTGAAGTGGTAAAGGGTGCACCTTTGAGTACTTTATGCATGAGCCCCTTGCTCGGAAGAATTGGGCAACCACCCCAAGCGGTATCAAAGCAAAATGAATGATCTTTACCTTTTCTTGTTACTTACCATCACAAAAGCGTCCTTTGTATCTTGGATTTGCACAGATGCATTCAAAGTCTTTTGTACTGATTTCTTTACACAGACCTCCATGTAAGCAAGGGTTGGGATGACATAAGGCAAACTCATATTCTATAAACATAAGGAGAAATTAGTACGCAATATATATAATTCAAAATATCCATCTCATTAATTTCCTTGATTATTGGTTTTGATATTGGTATATAGCTCTCGTAGCCACCTTTACGAATTGAATAGAACCTTAGACTCAATGTTTTCCCATTTCAGACCACGCGTCATTCCCTTGAGAATAAATTTCTTTGCTTGAGTTTTATCCGTATTCTTCTCTCTAAATAACGCAATTAAACGTATTTGGAAACGTGTATACAAAATCAAAGCTTACCATTAATTCTCTCCTTATAAACGATCTTAACCTCTCTCTTCTCAGAGCAGGTTCTCCCATAGTAATCTCCAGTGCAGACGCAAAAGAAGGTGGTCTTGCCATCAACACATGTCGCTCCATTCGTGCAGGGATCGGGCTTGCAGTGATCAGGGGGCGGTGTTGTTGGGGCTTGAGTTAATAAGGAAAAAATATACTATCGAAATTAGTGGTCATGATAACTTTTCTGACTTCGTCACACAACTAAACGACTCAACGATTAAACTTGAAGAAAGATGGCTCAAAATGTTGATAATATCTGAGTTTAAATATATGTAATAATTTATATCAACAATATAAATCAACTCATGCAAGTCTTTACATTCGTTTTACACCCACGCTGTAAACTTCAAGGTTTTTCTTTGCGTTTTTTCTTACCTCTTCCAGGTGGTAGCTCACAAATGGTTCCGTCACCGGTGTAGCCAGGTCTACACTCGCAAACGCCTTTGTGACAAGATGCGTGTGGAGCACATTTATCGCATTTGTTTTCTACRATAAACACAATGGGAAACTTGTATTATACACACAAGCATTATTCCTTATTTTGCATGCAAAGAAAATTACACTGAGCTGAGCTTAAAATGCAGTCATTGTACGCGGCCCAACCAGAAATAACAAAAGATACAATGGACTACTTCGAAGATATGGTGGCCATCTTGGATGACGATGCATTATGGGGCGTCCAGGGGGCAATTCAAATAAGACTTTGTTGCAGTAATGACGTCGATTGATATTAAAAGCTTCCAAGATAATACAACAGATGATGAATTGGGACAGCACATCGATCACTATTACACATAAAAGAAAGACAAACATACGAAACTCTTTACATTTTACGCCATCTTTGTTTTGTTTTGCCCCCCAGCAAGATGGCCGCCGTATCGATCGTCGAAGTAGTCCATTGCATCAAAGCAATAAACGACGACAAGCTGAATTCGCCCAGCATTTGACTGCGTTTTGCATTTAGATTATTTTGCCATATGATATCGTATGTGTTACATCTAAAGTACGTACTTTCACAGTTGTTGCCCTCGTATTGAACTGAACATATGCAGCTGATTCTTCCATTGGCAGACTGACATGTTCCTCCATTACGACAAGGATCTCTTGATTTCCCTCCGCTTGGAAGACAAAGGTTTTCAACTGAGAATTAAAAAAAATGAATAACTGAAACCAATAAACTAAAGTAATTAAAATTCTGGTTATCCGATATTTTTTACAGGATAATACAAGAAAACTCCGAGTTTTCTTACGTTTTACAGGAGCAAACACTTGCGTAAAATTCTAGTTTTCCGGGAATTTCCGTTTCAGGATTATTCAGAAAAACTTCCAGTTTTCCTTTGTCCATCTTATATAGATAATCATTATTTACGTATTGCTCGCAGAATACTCAGCGACATGATGTTTAGCTAAAGTTGCTATATATAAGTACTTTTCTTTAAATCAAAGAGTATACTTATTCATTTGTCTCACAATAGTGGTAGTTGAGAGGACCGCGACGTTTCGACTGCTATTGCTAGTCTTCATCAAGCGATGGTGTAGACTGCCACAATCGCGAGACAAATGGATAAGTATAATCTTTGATTTATATCCACGATGGAGAATATTTTCCATTTTATTTCCTTGAAATGTTTAACACTGCTAACTGTTAAGGTTCTATGAATAAGTAACAACCAAGTTACTCACGTTCACAAGTAGGCCCTTCAAAGGGTGGTAAGCATTTACACTGTGGCTGTCCACTCACTGTTTCACATCGTCCTCCATTATAGCAGCTGAATCCCGTACAAGGATCATACACTAAGGGGAAAAAAATGAAATTTGGAACTTAGGGACGGACCATTAGATAACTGAGGGGAGGTTGCGTAAATAACCCAATTATTGTAAACTATGTTGCTTTGGGAAAGGACACACCGCATGCAAAGAGTGTGATACAGACTTCCTATGTACTTTTAAATGATCCTTCTTGTAACTGAACTATATATCTGATACAGCTTTTAAAAAAGTGTTTGTGAAGGTTATGTTACATGTTGCTTGTTGTGTACCAAGCCCGAAATGCACTATGGTCGATGTGAATCCAAACAGCGAAAGGTCACAACAATATGAAATTTGCCTAAACTATGTCTGCACGTTTTTCCGGCAAATTTTCTTCTGTGCTGACATTATTTACATGAGAACATAATACATTTCGAGCTTAGTAAGCAGCATACAAGATGCAAGATGCAAGATGCAACATTGACATGCAACAACCCTTAACCAACCTTTTTTGAAATAGCTGTATATGGTAAGCAACTCATTTATGCATTCTTAGCTTAATTAAGTTTGCGACTTTAATATGAATGAAGTTATCTGTACATAGATATCATTAAGAAGTTATGAGGAATTAAATAAGCTGTTTTCAAGTTGCACATTTTTGCATTGCAACCAGTTGGCTACGTGAAATATTTATAATTTTACGAGTCTGTGGTGACGGATTACAACGGTTCTGACTAATTAAGAAAAATGATTATATATTTACTTCCATCAAAACTCGATTTTATCAATTTCCTACCTGTGCATCGTGTTCCAGAGTATCCTTTCATACATTCACAATACCACTCCATCTCACTGGTGTATATGTGACTTTGCTCGTGGCATGTGCCGCCATTCTCACATGGATTGGGATGACAACGCGTCTTCTCTGGTTGATTATTCAAGAAATTAAAATAGCATTAATATTGATCCTCATCACTCCGACACCTGATGCAACAAAGCCGCCATCTTGGTCTTGCTTATTTTTATGTCAAACAATATGGTGACAATGTCTTTTATCCCTTTATTGCCATAAAAGATATACTGTAGCGCATAAATAACCAATGGAACTGTTATCCTTTTTCAAGATCTGCCTTGACTATGGGTTTTAGGATACTAGCTTTATAATCTCAATCGTCGACTGACATTCCTTTATACCGTCAACTCTCGTTACAGCGGACACCTTCGGAACCGTCACTTGATTACCGTAATACGAGCGTCCGGTAAAGCGAAACTTAATTACGGTCATTTGTTTGTCAGCATTTTTTTGTGTAGAGAATTTTTCTCCCATCCGTAATAGTGAGGTGTCCGTAATATAGGAATGTCTGCAAGGTGAGAGTTGATTGCAATGTCGAATCGTTTCCTGCCTTCTTGTATAATATTCTTTTCTAACATCAAGAGTTTGCTATTACTTTAGTTCACACTTACTCTTTCTGCAGTGGAAGCCATTTCCCGTGTATCCTGCATTACAAATACACCTGTTTTCTTTGCAGTAAGCATGTCTTGAACAGTGATCACACACACTCGACAAAGACACTGAAAATGCCAAAAAAGATGGCAAATGAATTAGAAAACCATTAAAAACGCTGTTGCTTTGCGAGATTAAAATATCATATGCATAAAGTATACAAAGGCCTACCGCTTAATACCCATTAGGCTCTTGTGTGTAGTTCTTTGATTGCACGCGAGCCTCCATTGCACAAACAAGACAATACAAATGACAAGTGGAATATTATTGTAACCAATAAAATAGAAAATTAAAGCGAGCGATGGGAAGGACAAATGGTGGAATACCGAATTCAGCTTTTCTGCGTTTTGATTGGAGAAGAGGCGGAATTTCGAGTTCAGTTTAATTTACTGTGTTTTGATGGGCTGAATGTTTGTGTGGTAGGGAATGCTAGATTATATTCTCGTGAGTCATCATAAATTACCTTCACAATGAACTCCACCTCGTCCATCTGGACAAATGCAGTTAAAGGAAAACCCACTCGGTATGCAGGTCCCTCCATACATACAGGGATTGATGGGCCCACACGTTTCACTGGGCACTAAAAGAAACAAATTAAATTAAAAGACAATTAAAAGACACACTCTATTAAAATACTGATAGATCGTCACAATAAAAATTTGGCCTTCCAATAAATTCAAGCAAGTTTGGCAAGCGGCATTGTTTGAATTACAAATATGATTAAAAGAGGCAGTAGGCTTCGTTAAACTTCATTAATTTTACAGATAGTGAGATATGGCTTTGCAACATGCAAGGGGTGGGTCCATGCAAGTTTTGTACAAAGTGTGGTTAGTCGCCTTTACAGTTTCGAAAACAAATCTAACAAGGAAACTATATACTGCCCCTCCCCTCCCGAAATCATGTAATCATTTCATCCAAGGAGAAGCTCTAAGAAAGGAGGAATAAATTAAGATATTATATTAACTTTAAAAAGAAAAATAGGTATAATGTAAGCAACCAGATGAAAGCTTTATATTCGATTTAAAATATGCTGCTACGCATCTTCATTTTGTTAATATTATACCTTGAATTGGGTTATTATTAAACATGCAACTTCCTCCAACGCACTGAGCATCGCTAGGACAATTGGCACAGCCCTTTTCTGATGTATAACATGCAAAATGATTGTTAACTTCAGTGCTGATCATTCTCAAGTAGTAAATAATAAAGAATGATATAATTAATGCATAAAAATCTGTGTTCTAAATCTAGAGCAGGCAGTAGACTCCTTGCAGCACTTGGGAGCAATTTGGAGGGTAAAACAATAGGTTTCCAATTCACAGAAGATTGAAATTCCTTTTCTTGTCCTCTAAATTAAACTCCTTTGACGTCACATGCAAGGAGGCTATTAGTTAATTAGATAGGGGTGATATAAAATGAACCATTTTTTGAAAGAATAAATCACAACAAAATAACCTTTTAATTAAGAAATGAAGTATCTTACTCCAATGCAATTTGTTGAACATCAATCCTTCTTGTGCGTTACACTACCATTCTTAATTAGGAAATGTGCAGTTCTATTTGAAGTGAAGACAGTTATTATTATAGTTTGTACCTTGACAAGTTTGTCCACTAAATCCTGGTGCGCAACTGCAGACATATCTCGAAGCATCACCGGCCGTGTCTGACATGCATGTGGCACCGTTAAGACAAGGACTACTGTCACAACCATTACTGTTTATATGGACTGGTTCAAGATAATGAGAGAAAAATAAAAAAATATTAGATTAAAGTTTAGGGAGCTTTAATTTCAATCAGGCCGAACCAATCGGTCTGCACAGTCAGTTCTTAATTGCTAAGCAAGACAGTACTTAGAAGTGGTTCGGGCCGTGTTGGTTCAGTTTTAACTGACACTGACGTACCATTTAAGAACTGGTGGCTCGGACCACTCAGATCGATTTAATGGAATGCCCTTAGATTTGAAATTTGATTAAGAGTTTCACTCATCTTAAGTCTGAGAGCTGAGTTGATTTACTCAATATCAGCATTGTCAATTTATCCGGCTATAGAGCTATTTCACTCACGTGACAATGCAGCCATATTGATGTACCAAACAATAGAAACTCTCTGCACAGTTTCTGCATAAATATAAAGTTTTATTTCACGAGGATAAAAAAGATATCCGCTGTGACGTCACCTGAAAACGCTCTATTGTATTGAATGTTATTCATGTTTTTTAAAGATATATATTACATCAGAGGGGCGCATCGTAGGTTTTCCCCTACTGAGAAAGGAAGAGTCTCGTGTATCGAAATGCAAGTCAAACTTTGAGCTTACACGCATTTACCTTCACAATTAATGCCGCCATAAATATCAGGACAGATGCACTTGTATCCAGACAAATCTTCTTTGCAGACTCCGTTGTTTTGACAAGGATTTACAGGGTGACATTTGGATTCCTCTGAAAGGATAGAAAACAGATGCGAAGAGAATCAGAGAAGCATTCGTAAGCTTATTTCGTAGTTAGTTTGTAAAGTTTGCCTTACGTTCACAGTTTTTCCCCATAAAGCCTTGCTTGCAGGAGCAAATGTAGCTCTCTCTCGTCTCAGTACAGTAGCCACCGTTACGGCATGGGCTTGGTTCGCACTTGCTCTCGACTGGTGCAACAAATAAAAGAAAAAGAAAAAAATTTTTACGGATTCAGAGCATATATTATGAACGAGAGAAAAAAAAGGGGGGTTAGTTGCCAAATATTCAATGCTATGATGTATAAGCAAAAAATGTAAGTCTTAACTTAAAAGTCCTGTAGGAGGAGAGAAAGGCATACGCCTCGGGATTTGGCTACATAGGTGGGGAATTTGACTACTCATTAGGTAAAGTGAGTTGACACGAATATCATTGTAAAAAAGAACTAAAGAAACTAGAAATGACATTCGTTAGATTCTATTTTGGCGGGTCTTTTTTCCTTACATTCCTGGCCCGGGCCCGGTCTTTATAATTGTAAGTTGATTTTTACACAGTTACTATCAACAGAAGAAATTTATCTTGACATTTCATCTATTCTACAAATGAAAGAAAGACTTTTGCAGCTTGCCCTACCGTCACAGTTTTTTCCATGGAATCCTACATGGCACGTGCATTCATAATCATYCACTAGTTCCGTGCATTTGCCAAAATTTTTACACGGGCTTGGTATACATTGGCTTTGGACTGAAAAATAGATCCAAAATAAAGCGTCATGAAGAGAACAAAGAGACCGATAAAAGATTCGTAAAAGTAAATTGTAATTCTTACCTTCACAGCGTTCACCTTTATAACCTAATGCGCAAACGCATTTGAAACTGGAAGCAACCGCTGAACAAGATCCTCCGTTCCTACACGGCTTTTCCTCGCATGGTCCATTCACTGTAAATGCAAGGTGAATAAGGTAACATGTAAACATTTAAACTAGGAAGCGATTGCATTTTGCCAAACATCTACTTGATACTGCAGATAATTACAGATTATTTTGTCGACTGAAATATTATTTTGATAGTCATTCTTTTGTAAGTAGCTTTTCATAACAGTTGTTTGCAAGGGATTTTTTTATGTTAAGGGTATCATCCTAATGGACCATTTAGAGTGATTCTTATTTCAACTAAATTAATTTATTGGAGGAGAAAGCAATGTATGATAAGTGATAGTCACGACAAGATAATACGTATATATWTTTTTAATTGAATGGTAATCAGTGCCAAGAAACTAGCAATGAAATAACAAAATCCAAGACAAATAATCATCAAGTGAAATCAAAAAATGTGTCTTACTTACTCAAGTGATGATGATGAACAACAAGCAGTCTAGGAGGTAATGGAGGACCAGGCACCACGACTGGAATAGGTACTCTCTTGGGTGGCATAGGCACAGGGCGGTTAACAACTATTATTTTCGAAGGTCCTTGGACCGGAACGGGTACCCTTAAAGTATGGTGCACGGGTCTGTTTATGATCATCAAATGGTTGTGAGGTCGAGGGGGACCTGGATACATCATATGGATCATCTGACCACCACCCATCCCAGTTTCCATCAGCTTTGGAGCGCCAAACCTATTCTCAGCATATCCACCCATTTTGTCAAAATGGGCACCCGGGCCAAATCCTGCTATATTTCCAACTCGAGGGGCGTCAGCAAACCTGCCCAAAGCAAACATATTTTTACTTCCTCCGATATGAACTGGTCCACCAAGACCACCTTCAAGGCCAGCAATGTGGGTTTGTGCACCGATGTTCTGGACGAAAGGTCCACTTATCTTAGGCTCGAATGGGACAATACGAGCCCCACCATCAATATTCCCAATGGTATCTACATGAGCTGGCCCTATAAATGGCATTGATTTAACACTTCCGATTCGAGGCCTTTCTCCATTAAAATCTTTCGTATGACTTATAGCATTAAAGTTGTGTGGCTTTCTCAGTCTATGACGTCCAGTGATGGCTTCTATATCAATAGGTTTAGACAAATACCGATGAATGGCGCCACCTACATATCGATGTTCAACTCCATTGGAGTAATATTTATGGATGGGAGGAAGGTGATCTGGTGACAATATTCGCTGTCTTTTTGCAAGTTCTTTGGCACTTTTAGCGTCTACCCGATCGTTATAATTTAAAGAAGTTTTCCCCGAGCGAGTATTCTTGTTACCTCTATCTGCTTCAGGATTCGATGACTTAGTTTGTAAGATCTTATTGGATAAATTGACTTTCTTGTCCAATGTTTCTTTCTTTCCTTTTATTAAGTTTCTTTTCGCTTTCTTCAAACCATTTCTATGAATTGTCTTTGTGTTTATTTTAAAGCCGGCTAGCTTGTTAGTGTCCCGCTTTTCAGGTTTTGTAATAGATGCCTTAACTTTATTATCAATATCCTCATTACCACTTGAATGTTTTGGTCTTGCAAATGTCAAATTATGAAGTGCTCCCTGCCACTTTTTTGTCTCATCTTCAAGACGGGATGGCTGTTCGCGGTGAAGCTGTTTTAAACGAACTTTGCTTGATTTTATGAGGCTACTTCTATTATTTGATTTACCGCACGAAATCTCGACCAACACCAGTCCAGTAACCAATATTCCTATCACCAATCCATTCATTCTACCACGAAAGACCAGTTTGCCACATCCTATTACAAACAAATATAGTTTTTCATGCGATGTGTTTATATTTAGTCTCTTTTAGTTCTTTTCAAAAAAAAAAAAAATGGTTAAAGGTGTGTTTAATATTTAATTGCCCACAAGCGAACTAGAACAAGATGACATCATTGACAAAGATGACATGCCAAGAACACACATCTCTTAAGTGCTTTCTCTCTACAATGTCCTAGTTTTACTACAGCTGATTTGCTTAGCATAACACCTTAGAGATTCAGGGAACTACAGGTTTAACTGTTAATGGTAAACGATATCGCTGGTTAAAAAAAGATGATTTGACTGGTGATTTTTTTGTCGTTAGTGGCCGCTTGGTTGAGCAATTCGATTTACCATGACCGTTCTGTTTACTTTAGGGTGGGTATTTGATTGTTTATTTGGTTTACTTGACATGTTTACTGAAACCGTAAAAGCGCAAAACCACTGGTCTATAATTAAAAACCACGATTAACTACGCTTGCTTTTCTGTTGCCCTATTTATATTATTTTTATTTTTACTTTTTTTATTTTTTGATTACCAGACAGGCGTCCCAAATTCGGTTTCTTTCTTTGATCTTTCAAAGAACATATTCTGATCTCTTATGTTTTTTATAACTTTKACTTTAACTTTTATAACTCTTCTACAGCTCCAAATGTGTTTTTTTTCTTTTGTTCGTTTATTCGTCCGTTCGTTCTTTTTTTACTCCCGTTCCTTTGTTCCTTTTCTTCCTTTCTTTAAAATCTCTCTCTCACTTTTCTCTCTACGAAGATTTCTTATCGGCCCTGTCTCTCTGTCTCTTACTGCCTTTTTCTGGCCTGTATACTTGTTTCTTTGTTTGTTTGTTTTTTTGTTGTTGTTGTTTTGGTTGTTTGGTTATGCGGTTCATAGGGTTAATGGACTACTTCGACGATACGGAGCCCATCTTGCCCGGGGCCAAACGAAACAGATGACGAAAAATATAAATGTTTCCGTGTGTTTGTCTATCTTATATAGGTAAAGATGTTCGATGTGCCGACCTAATTTATTTGTCGTTGTATTCTCTTGTGGTAAGCTGTCAATATCAATCGACGTCATTACTGTAACAAAGCTTTATTTCCAAGATGGCCGCCATATCGTCGAAGTAGTCCATCAATGTACTCAAATTCTTAGTGATCTCCTGATCACCTCACTTCCCAAACTAGCTTTTAAGTGTGTAAAGAATTTGTAACGAGTATATAAAAACATATTGGATAAACGGTCAGTGTGATTCTAGTTTATTGTTAGAAAAATCGTATCTTAGCAGTACAAGATGTTTTTATTTGTATTAAACGAGTTTGAATTGTATCATTTAATTGAAATTTAGTTATTCATGTTATACTTTATTTATTCTATAGCTGGTCCTAAACTTTGGAAAAAATATTTCCAGGGTCTCAATTACATTATTACTTGAAACTTCTTATTGATATATATCTATGGAGGCTTTGCACCATCACGTGATGGCAGCCATGACAGGAGGCAGGAACAATTAAATCTGGTATAATCTGATTTACATGAAAAATTCAGTTTCCCAGGGGAGAACGGCTCTATTGTTGTGTCTCCTGTCATGGCTGCCATCGCGTGATGGTGCAAAGCCTTTGTAGTGGGTATATCAGTTGTAAAGAGAGTCAAGACTTTTGTTTTTTATGGGCTTTTTAGATTTAAAATATTGTTATTATTATTATTACTATTTTTACTAATATTATATAACATTATCAGAAATCCGTTAGTATAATTATATTCATGTATAATATATCAATAATACGCGCCCATCATAAGGGTTTATAATCCACTAATTTGTGCTTAGTCAATTTATAAAATATTATTTTATTAGATTTATAAGATATTTACAGTTATTGCTTTCATCACCACATTTACCTTTTACCTATCTAACTCTAGATCAAAATCGGGTTGGTCCGGCATGTTTTTAGCATTTTTTTGTCCTTCATCATTAGTATTTATCTCAATGATTGTCTTTTTCTTGCTTTTTATTTTACAACAAGGTGCAGGGCACAAGTAAGAGCAATCGGTTTCGCATTCTTCAGGACATTTTCCAAGTGGACTGCTGAGAAGCGCCGATAAAGTATGAATAAGTTTTTCCTTACGCTCAGGGGACAACTCAGAGACAGAAGCTACTGATTGTGATGCTTTTACAGACGAAGTCTTTTTCTTTACAGTTGTGTGTTTAGAACTCGATCCTGATTTAGGCTTAGTTTTAAGTAAAGAACGGCTTACAGCATTTCCCAATGTTGTATCCATCTCACAACATTGCGCTGGACAGGAAGCTTGACAACCTGATTTGCACTGCGCAGGACAGGAAGTGACAACAGGTGCAGCAGTGCCTCCTTCATCGATATCCATAAGCGGGGCTAGAGCGGTTGGGTTAATGGGTGGAGGTATTTCATCAGGGGAGCAACATCGGATCGGACAAAAAGGCTGACATTTTTCATGGCAAACACTTGGGCACGTGTTGTGCGAGCAGCATTGAGAAGGACATGATGGTGCGCAGTGATCTGAATTGCAATCTGTTGGACACTCAACCGTTTGGGCTGCGCTTGGAAGGTATGGTTTTGAGCAGCATTTCGGAGGACATGTTGGAGCGCAAGTGGCACTGCAGTGCTGCGGACATGTATCCGTTGTTTGTACTGTGATTGGATGTACCGTAACTTTGCAACAGTGTTGAGGACAAGAAGACAAACAGTTCGCTTCGCAATTAGCAGGGCATGGTGGAATTTCAGCCGTAGCTGGTGGCACTGCAATATCAAAAGCAATAGTGAAATAATCACTTTAAACAACAATCAATAGAAGTCTTTACCTTTGGCGTAATGTTTTCCCATTTCAGACCTCGTGTCATTCCCTTGAGAATAGCCATTATTTGTTTGAGTCGTATCCATATTTATGTTTCTTCTGATGCACAACCGTTTAACAAAGAAATGAATTACACGTGGTCTGGAATGGGAAAACACAAACGCCCAAGCTAAAGATGTCTATTAGATTACAGAATATGATGTCCTAGCACTACTCTGTTAACATCCTAAAAAAGCTTATTTGAACTTTTTGTATATAAAGCACATTACAACATTTAATCAGCAAAAGTTGATTGATCCTCAATCTTCAATGCATATTAAAACTACTTTAAATTCTCATTTTGTTTAACAAGCTGCAAAAATACAACTTAAATTTAACACGTCATTATTTGTTCCAATTTTCAATAAAGCTCTTTTTTTTCTCTGTACGATTCAACAGCTTTATAATGAGAAAATTGAATAAAATGGGTAGCATTCTGCTTCCGTTTCTTGATCTTTGCTTAGAAATTGAAAAGGCTTTTCACATCCTGCATATAAAGACTGAATATAGCAGAATGAATCGTTGGAACACCATTGAACAAGCTGCAGTTTAATTCTAGATTCTGCTACAAAACTCAAATCGCTTACCTAAGCAATGTTTCCCATCAAAATAGTAGCCTTTGCCACACACGCACACGCCTCGCATACAATGTGAATTAGAAGGGCAGCCATCTTGGCAAGTTTCGGCTTTATAACCGAAATGGGATACAAAAAAAGGAAGCATTTTATTGATATTTTGATTAAAAAAGTACTGACCATAAAAACATCTTATTCTAAAAATTCCAAACAGAAAGCTCAATAAAATAATATAATAAAAGTCTTTTCATTTTTCCGCGCGGAAAACTAGTATCGTTTTCTTGTAGATTTGCTTATACGTTCATTCGATTTAGTTGGAAAATGGAAAAAGGAAAATATAAAAATAAAAATATATAACTATAAAATTGGGGGTGAAAATATATAAATAGTTGGATGACTTACCACTGCAAATCTGTCCATTACCAGTATATCCAGGGTTACAGATACATTCATTAGCGACACATGAAGCATATTTGTGACACTGATGACATCGCTTAACTGATGATAAAAGAGAGTAAACATTAAGCCTTAAATCAAATAAGAATGCTACATTCTTATTGCGTCTCTTTATTATCGCATTAGTTGAAAGCGAGCTTTTACTTTATTGAAATCAAATTAAAAATATTTGCGAAGTATGATTGATCTCTTTAATCAAATCAAGTCCTTACTTTTTTCACACTGTAATCCGTCTCCTTTGTATCCTATGCGGCACCGACAAGCTCCATGTATACAGATGGCATGTATATCACACTGGTCACAATCGTCAACTGAAACAAAATAAATTGACATTTACAGGCAAATTGTTTGTATTGGGAGTTCTGTTTGTAAATTTGATGAATTATGATTTAAATAGCTCCCTTTCTATATGGATATAATAAAAATCAAAGACGCTTCACATTGAGTTGTGAGTTTCAGGTTGCTTTTTACTGGTATGCAATTTGCAAGTTTCCATCAAACTTGGGGGGAAATCACAATCCGACAAAACATGTATAAACGCTGTCATGAATTTCTCCGGGTATTTGATAATGGTATCTGACTCAACGCGTGGCCCATCCTTTTATACCCACCATCACAGTTCTGTCCTCTGTAGGCACCAGGGCATTTACACGTGTATCCACTTCCGGTTTCTTGGCATGTACCTCCATGAAGACACGGGTTTGGGTGACAAAAATGAGGAGCTGGAAGTCAATATATATATTCATTAGTTATTCTGGAAAGTCCGTATCTGGTCTTATGACTGAAAGACATTTTTCTTTGTTTTTTTTTTTCCTGGAAGAATTGCTTGTTGCAGAAGAAAAGCCAAATTGTGCATAAGCGAACGGATTAAAGAGTTTCATACTTAAGTATTGAAATCACTACTTACCTTCTTCCTGGCATGTTTTTCCTTGGTATGCAGCAGTGCAATTACAACGAAACGTGTTCCCTTCGTTGATACATGTGCCATCGTGATGGCATGGGTTTGATGCACAAGGGTCTGGTTTAGGTTTAGGAGGAGCCGCACCTAAATAAAATATTGAACAATCAGTAAACCGATTAGTCATTCTGAGGCTGGGGAAGAACTGGGTCGAATTGGCATCCGACGCACATTTTGGGACCTTCTTAGGAGACGAAAAAAACGGCATCTTGGTAATATTACATAGTCCACAATGCACTGCAATGGAATCTCGACCCAGCCTCTCCACCCTTGAGATGGATAATGATGGAACCAGAAGCAAGTGGAGAGAGTTTCAAAAAAAGACAAAGTGGAGCGGAGCATGCGTCTTATGAGGAGGCTTGCATTCTCCGCTTATAGGTTGATTATAGAGAGATCTTCTTGTTTTTTCTTCTAATTTTCGTGTTCATTTTCTTCCGAAAAATAGAAACAAAAGATTTAGGACTCTCCTCGCGCATTATAATTTTTAGGTGAAAATTAAAGACTTAAATTTCTCATAAAAATTGCAAATACAATTTTTTTACCTAAACCCAGTTCACAGTTGTCGCCAGAGAATCCTTCGTAACAAATGCAACTATGTCCATTGGGTAACTCTTGACAAGATCCGCCATTTTTACATGGATTTGGTAAACAAAACCTGGGATTTGAGGCTTTGGAAATAAATGTTGTTATAAAATGAGTAAAAACGAAAGTAATAGGGGGATATAAGAATTTGGGTGAAGGAAGGAATGGAGCAAGAAGAGAAGAAGTAAGGAAGTTGGTGGAAAGGATCGGAATAGCATGAGGAAGGAAGGAAGGAAG